ATTAAAAAAAAAATAGAAAACTTATGTTAGAAAATGCAAAATTCATTACTTTGAAATTTTGAAAGTGTTTTAAGGTTCTTGTGGTTTTATTAATTCATTAGAACTTTTGTCTTGGACCTCTAAATTTTTGCAAACAATAGAAAATTTATCTTGGAAACTACAAAAATGAATATTATTTTGAAATCTTGCAACACTTCAATGGCCTGACTTGACCTGACTTGACCACTTTCAAATTATGCAAACATCTGAATGTCATCCGTTAACACTTTAGTTAAAATTTATCTGTTAGTCCCCTCCAAAAATTAGATGACGTCATGTCAAAATTTTACCAAGTAAATCGGGTTTAAATTTTACAAAATAATATGTTTCTGTAGTTATGGTTTATTAATTCGTTTTTTTTTTAATTTTTATTTTAGACCTTTAAATTTTTGGAAAAAATATCAAAATATTTCGAAAAAAAGCGAAAAATTATCTTAGAAAATACAAAAGACACTATTTTCAAATCTTACAAAAGTTTTAAGGTTATCGTAGCAATGAAAAATCGTTTGCAAAATTTATCTGTCCCTTCCTCTCAAGAATTAGGTGACGTCACCTCACAATTTTATCAAGTAAATAAATCTTTTCAAATTTTACGAAAAAAAAAATGCTTCTGCACTTGTGGTTTTTAATTCGTTCTTATTTTTTTGCCTTGGACTCTTAAATTTTTGTAAAGAAATTCAAATTTTTTCAAAAAAATTTGACAATTTGACTTATAAAAAACGACTACTTTCAAAATTAAAAAAATGACGTAATCTCAAAACTTTACTATCTGTTTTTCCGTGCAAAGAATTAGATAACGTCATCTCAAAATTTTGCGAAATAATATGCTAAAATTTTACAAAATATTTACTACATTTCTGTACTTGTGTAATTCGTTTTTTTTTATTTGTATTTTAGACCTTTAAATTTTTGGAAACAATTAAAATATTTCGAAAAAAAATTAAAATTATCTTAGAAACTACAAAAGGCACTACCTTTAAATATTGCCAATGTTTTAAGGTTGTCCTAATTGAGGTAAATTGTGAATCAAAATTTATCTCTCTCCTATACAAAAATTAGATGATGTCATCTCACAATTTTGCCAAGAAAATCGTATTTAAATTTTGCAAAATAATATGTACTTGTGGTTTATTAATTCGTTCTTAGGTATTACCCTGAACCTGCAGAATTTTTGACCGGAATAAAAAATTTGTAAATTTTTTAAAATACATAATTAGAAAATCTATTTTAGAAAATACAAGACCGACTGCTCCCAAATTTTGTAAACGTTTCAAGGTTATCGTAATAGTGGTTAATCAAAATTTATGTGCGTGTCCCAAAATTAGTTGACGTCGTTTAAAATTTTACCAAGTAGATCCTGTTGAAATTTTATAAAACAATTTGGTCCAGTGTTTGTGGTTTATTAATTCGTCTTTATTTTTATCTTGAACCTCGATTTTTGGAAAGAAATTTAAAGTTTTTCAAAAAAATTCGAAAATTTATTGTAATGTACTTTCCAAACTACAATTCTGACCGGTTTCATATCTTGAAAAACTTTTAAGGTTATCTTAGAAATGGTAAATTTTAATTAAAACTGATCTGTTTGTACTTTGAAAAAGTAATGACGTTTTCTCAAAATTTTACCATGTGATGTTTAAATTTTACAAAATAATATGCTTGTGTACTTGTGGTTTATAAATCCGATTTTATAACTTTTAACTTAGACTTTTAAATTAAAAAAAATAATAACAAACATGTTTCCAAAAAGTAGAAAAAATCGTTTAGAAAATGCAAAACTGACTACCTTCAAATCTTCCAAACGTTTTAAAGCTATCGTAACAATGGTAAATCGTGAATCAAAATTTAACTGCTTCTCTTCTCCAAAAATTAGATCTCAAAATTTTGCTAAGTAAATTGTGTTTAAATTTTACAAAATAATATGCTTGTATGCTTGCGGCCTACTAATTCGTGTTTATAATTTTGATTATAGATCTGTAAATTTTTGAAAAAAAATCAAAATTTTTCATAAAAAATTCAAAAATTATCTTAGAAAATAACCATGTGCTTTCAAATCTTGCAAACGTTTTGAAGTTAACGAAATAGTTCGCAATCGAGAATCAAAATTTGTCTGCTTTCCCTTCCAAATATTAGATCTCAAAATTTTACCAAATAAATTGTGCTTCAATTTTACAAAATAATATGGACTTGTGGTTTTAGTATTTTGTTTTATGATATAATTTGAACTTTGAATTTTTAGAACGGAAATCAAAATTTAAAAAATATTTTGCATTAGTACCTGGTACGGTAAGACTGATTTATTTACAGGTACTAGCCCCGCCCACCCGCCCTCTCTTTTCTTAGAGGATCTCTTATTTGCCAAAATCAGTCTTACCCTATCTAGTAGCTGCTAAGATAAAACTGATTTTGGCAAATGACATACTCTCTAAGTAAAAAGAGGGTGGGTGGGCGGGGCGAGCACCTGCCAAGGTAAGACTAATTTTTGGCAAGTGAGATACCTTGTAATAAAAGAGAGGGTGGGTGGGCGGGGCTAGCAGCTGCTAAGATAAAACTGACTTTGGCAGGTACTAGCCCCGCCCATCCGACCTCTCTTTTTTTAGAGGGTATTTCATTTGCCAAAATCAGTCTTATCTTGACAGCTAGTATACCCGCCTACCCGCCCTCTCTTTTCTTAGAGGCTATCTCATTTGATAAAATCAGTCTTATCCTATCTAGTAGCTGTTAAGATAAAACTGCTTTTGGCAAATGAGACACCTTGTAAGAAAAGAAAGGGTGGGTGGGTGGGGCTAGTAGCTGCTAAGATAAAACTGATTTTGGCAAATGACATGCTCTCTAAGAAAAGAGAGGGTGGGTGGGTGGGGCTAGTAGCTGCTAATATAAAACTGATTTTGGCAAATGATATACTCTCTAAGAAAAGAGAGGGTGGGTGGGCGGGGCTAGTAGCTGCTAAGATAAAACTGATTTTAGCAGGTACTAGCCCCACCCATCTGACTTCTATTTTTTTAGAGAGATCTCATTTGCCAAAATCAGTCTTATTTTAGCAGCTACTAGCCCCGCCCACCCGCCCGCTATTTTCTTAGAGGGTATCTCATTTGCCAAAATCAGTCTTATCTTAGCAGCTGCTAGGCTCGCCCACCCGCCCTCTTTTCTTAGAGGGTATCTCATTGGCCAAAATCAGTCTTATCTTAGCAAGTATTGATGATTAACTTTTACAAAAAATGATTCCAAAAATTAGTTGACGTCATCTCAAAATTATACCAAGCAGATCGTGTTGAAATTTTATAAAACAATATAGTCTGTGTTTGTTGTTTATTAATTCGTTTTTAGTTTTGTCTTGAACCCTTATATTTTTAGAAGGAAATTAAAAAAAATCGAAAATGTCTTTCAAATCTTGAAAAAATATATTTCTCCTTTCAAAAATTAGATTACGTTTTCTCAAAATTTTACTGAGTAAATTATGTTGAAATCTCATAAACTTATATGCTCCGGGAATTCTTGTTTATTGATTTATTTTTATTTTTTACCTTGAACCTCTAGATTTTTGGAAAGAAATTTAAAAAATTTGTTTTGACTTGATCTGCCGTAATGTGACTTAACCTAAACTTGACCTGCCCTGACGTGACCTGTCCTGAACTGAGTTGATCTGACCTGACTATTTTGAAATCTTGCAAACATTTTAATGTCATCGTAATTCGTCTTTATTTTTCACCGTGAAGTTCTGGATTTTTAGAAAAATTTAAATTCGTAACAAATCTTGCAAACGTTTTAAGATTATCGTAACAATACTAAATCGTTATTTAAAATTTATCTGTTATTCCCTTCCAAAAATTAGATGACGTCAACTCAAACTTTTGCCACCTAAGGTAAATCGTGTTAAAATGTTATAGAGTATTAGAAAAATTTGTTGTATTGTTTAATAAAATTGAAATATAGAAGTCGTAGGCCGTCAAAGTTTTTTTTCCGGGTTTCACTATATTCCATTAATTTACTGCTTGAAATTAATCGAACTTTCTTTATACAAAATAATTTTGGAAAAAAAAACTAAAGTTTTGGAAATTTTGCTATATTCTGAGAAATACGATTTATGTTTCTAAAACATTATAACTAAATACAATAAGATTAAAATCAAGAGCAAAAACAACAATGGTACAGCTACAACAGAGGCACGGTTACGCTTCTGTTGTAGTAGCAGGAAGAGCAGCAGCGAGAGCAACAGAAACAACAACCGTGAGGCAAAACTATTTTAGCCCTAGGGCGAAAACTGTGACATTTCAGCAACTGTCGGGATTCACAAAATGTCAGCGTGGGTTCTAAAAAAAATTGTTTATTAGCAAAATTTACGATTACAAAATATTGGTCCACTCAGGAAACTATTTCGATATTACTTTTATGAATTCTAGCTCCTAAACATTATTAATAAAATAATAAACACCGTTTCGTACTTGTTGCAACTATTAAGAAACACCCGAGTTATTTTACGACCCGTCAAAAAATTTGTACCACGCTCGTAATTAAGTCCGCAAAAATGCAATCAAAACACGGACATCCTCCAATCCTCTCGCCAACACAGCTTAATTAACCCGACTTAAACCAATTAAAATAATTAACCGCCAAATTCGGATAATCCTCGCGCCGCTCAAGGTGATCCGCAACATCTCAATCGTCAAAACTCTTCTCCCTCGCAATTGACAAACAACACAAAAGGTCACCAAGAGCACACTCCGAGTACTTGCGAATGCCAGCGTTCGCTAATTATTCATCCATTACTCCTAGCATCCGAAGAAATTCTTCGCGAGTCACTCGTCGTGAGAACAAAACTCGTCTTCGCCGGGCCGAATCCAACGACGAACCTCCGGATGAGCCTCCGTCGTTGCATAAAAACGCCATGAATCTTTTGAAACTAGTCCGTAAAGGTGAACTGGCCATTTCAAATTATGGGATGGTTTGGTAAAAATAATGTGAAGGATGCCACCTGAAGGGGGGAGATTTTCGCAAGTTTTTCGAAACTATATAAATCGAGCGCTAGCCATCCCTAAATTAGTCTCAGTCTTCATCAAACATGAAAGTGGTTAGTCGCAGAGTTAAGCCGCCGCTACAGTGTTAATCGTCATTGTTCTTTCAGATCGTTGTCGTCGCCGCCCTTTTGGCCGTAGCCTTAGCCAGGCCGCAGAACCGCGATGCGGACGCTCAGATCGTTCGGGCGGATACGGATAACATCGGCGTCGGAGGATACAAATATAGGTTAGGTTTCGATTTTTTAGCGCCAAAAACGTCAATAATTGCGAGCTACCGCGAAATTCACCGATTTTTAATTCTACTGTACACTTTGACACGGTAATTACGGTTCCTGTTTCGACAAGGCGGCAAATTCAAGCCTACTTCGATAGATCGTAGTGTGCGCAATTTTGTTTGTTTTAATATGTCACTACAATTCGTATTTTTCAACTATTTTCCAAAATTTTTCAAAATCCGAACCTAAATTGTTGTATATTAGTTATAATAACAATATAATTTTAAAACGTAGGTTATCCTTCACAGATGATTAATGCATAGAACAATTTTGTTTGTTTTAAAATGTCACCGAATTTCGTATTCTTTAAACATTTTCCAAAATTTTTCAAAATCCGAACCTAAATTATTGATAATTTAAGAGGATTAATGAATAGTTGTTATAAAAACAAACAGTAGCTAATTATCCAGTACTTAGCCCACCTAGTAGCCACAATTGTGACGAAAACTGGCCTCAAATCCCCAATTTTGTCACTGAAGATGTCTTTTTCAGTTACGAAACCAGTAACGGCATTTCCTCTGATGAGCAAGGCGAGGTGAAGAACGAAGGCCGTGAGGACGAAAGCATCGCCGTCCGTGGACAATTCAGCTTCGTGGGCCCCGATGGTGTCACCTACACTGTGCAATACATCGCTGACGAGAACGGTTTCCAGCCACAAGGCGCCCACATACCCCAGTAATACGGCCCTGATTTTCAGTACTGTTAAGTTTTGTACAGCAATACCATCACAATGATATTTAAGTACTGTTGACATTCAACAATTTGTAAAAATTGCTTTATAAATATACGTATTGGTTATTTATTTGGTATTGTTTCTCATAACCTACTTGGGTTGATGGTTGTGCCATCGCTGGTTCGTCCTTGAACTTTGCGTGTACCAATCGAATAATTAAGTGGCCGGGTTATGAATAGAGGGTGTTCTTCACGGATCTTGAATTGTGTCAGGAATTTCCTCATTGGCACCAAACCGGTGGCAAAGGTTACGGTGACAGCGTGGCGAAAAGGAGATGGGTTCGGAGTGGGGGGATGGGAAGTTGGGTATATATGGTTGGTGTTGTGGTTTTGGATACGTAGTTAATTGGATGGTTGACGTCAATTCCAACAAGTTAGCAACTTTGTCATCGAAATTTAAAAAATGAGAAAATAAAACCTGCTTCCGTCTGTTTGTCTGTTTTTTGGGGGTTTTAAGAGAGTAATTTTAAACTACTGTTAAGTTTACAAAGCAATTTACACTTTGTCAATAGTTAATTGGACTATATTTGTTCGTCGCCTCCAAAAAGTCGATGACGTCATCAAACATGCAGCATAGCATGCTTCAATATATCTATCTATCTTATTTTTAAGAAATGTTTACTTTTTGGAACGTTTTTGGAAATTATTTTTATATTTTTCGGAGATGTTACAAACATGATTACAGATCCATTATTTGAGAGATACTACAAAAGTGTCTTTGGAATTTTAATCTAGAAAAAATTGTTTTTTTTTTAATAGAGTTTGAAGAGGATTCACGTATAAACTAGTTTTCGTTTGAAAATTATTATTACGTTTTATGGAATGTATTGGAATTTTGTAGATTTTTTGGAATTGTTTGGAAATTTTGGGAATTTATTGGTATTTTTTGGATTTTTTTATTTATTTTTTTTTCGAATTTTTTGCAAACTATTTTTATTTGACTAAGTAATTCATCACTATTAGTTGAACCATTAAGTATTTTGTGAAGAAATATTAGGCTGGCTACGTTTCTTCTACTCACTACAGATTTTTCATTCAGAATATTTAGGAGAACTTTTTGATGACAGCGTAATTCGGGATAATTTGAAAAGTACAAAATGCAAAATCCCACCAATTTTTAACGAAATTTTCTAAATTTCACCAAGTACATTTTTCCGAGCCGCAGAAGTTGCTACCGCTTCCATTTCTTCGAGAACTCCAATGGTTTTTCTAGAATCGTCCTTTGAAACATTCAAAAATAAGCAAAATACCCCAATTTTCAACATAATTTTCGAAATTTTACTAAATACATTTTCTTAAAGATTTAGGACCGCAGAAGACATATCCACTTTCATTTCTTCGATAACTCCAATGGTTCTTTCAGAATCGTCTTTTGAAATATTTAAAAATATGCAAAATCCGCCCAATTTTCGACCAATTTTCAACAAGATTTTCCAAATTTGACTAAATACATTTTCTTGTAGATTTCGGACCGCAGAAGTCATATCCGCTTTCATTTCTTCGATAACTCCAATGGTTTTTCCAGAATCGTCCTTTGAAACATTCAAAAATAAACAAAATACCCCAATTTTCACCAAAATTTTTGAAATTTCACTAAGTATATTTTCTTGTTGATTTCGGACCGCAGAAGTCATATCCGCTCTCACCTTTTCAATAACTCAAATGGTTCTTCCAGAATCGACTTTTGAAATGTATAAAAATATGCAAAATCCGCAAAATTTCGACCAATTTTTATCAAAATTTTCGAAATTTCAATAAATACATTTTCTTGTAGAGTTAGGGACGCAGAAGTCATATCCGCTTACATTTCGTCCATAACTCCAATGGTTTACTAGAATCGACCTTTGAAACATTCAAAAATATGCCAAATAACCCAATTTTCGACCAATTTTCAACAAAATTTTCGAAATTTCACTAAATACATTTTCTTGTAGATTTCGGGCCGTAGAAGTCATATCCGCTTTCATTCCTTCGATAACTCAAATGGTTCTTACAGAATCGTCCTTTGAAACTTTCAAAAATATGCAAAATAACACAATTTTCCACCAATTTTCAACAAAATTTTCGAATTATTACTAAATATATTTTCTTGTAGATTTCGGACTGCAGAGGTCACATCCGCTTTCATTTCTTCGATAACTCCAATAGTTCTTCCAGAATCGTCGTTTGAAATATATAAAAATATACAAAATCCGCCCAATTTTCGGCCGATCTTCAACAAAATTTTCGAAATTTGACTAAATTTATTTTCTTGTGGATTTACGACCGCAGAAGTCATACCCGCTTTCATTTCTTCGATAACTCAAATGGTTTTTCCTGAGTCGTCCTTTGAAACATTAAAAAATATTCAAAATCCGCCCAATTTTCGACCAATTTTCAACAAAATTTTCGAAATTTCACTAAATATATTTTCTCGTATATTTCGGGCCGTAGAGGTCATATCCGCTTTCATTTCTTCGATAACTCCAATGGTTCTTCCAGAATCGTCCTTTGAAACATTAAAAAATAAGCAAAATACCCCAAATTTCGACAAATTTTTAATAAAATCTTCGAAATTTTACTAAATACATTTTCTTGTAGATTTCGGGCCGTAGAAGTCATATCCACTTTCATTCCTTCGATAACTCAAATTGTTCTGACAGAATCGTCCTTTGAAACTTTCAAAAATATGCAAAATAACACAATTTTCCACAAATTTTCAACAAAATTTTCGAAATTTTACTAAATATATTTTCTTGTAGATTTCGGACCGCAGAGGTCACATCCGCTTTCATTTCTTCGATAACTCCAATAGTTCTTCCAGAATCGTCGTTTGAAATATATAAAAATATACAAAATCCGCCCAATTTTCGGCCGATCTTCAACAAAATTTTCGAAATTTGACTAAATTCATTTTCTTGTAGATTTGGGCTCGTCGAAGTCATATACGCTTTTATTTCTTCGATAACTCCAACGGTTTTTCCAGAATCGTCCTCTGAAACATTCAAAAATAAGCAAAATACTCCACATTTCGATCAATTTTCAACAAAATTTTCGAAATTTTACTAAATACATTTTCTTGTAGATTTCGGGCCGCAGAAGTCATATCCGCTGTCATTTCTTTGATAACTTTAACGGTTTTTCAAGAATCGTCGTTTGAAACATTCAAAAATAAGCAAAATCCGCCCAATTTTCAACCAATTTTCAACAAAATTTTCGAAATTTCACTAAATACATTTTCTTGTAGATTTCGGGCCCCAGAGGTCATATCCGCTTTCATTTCTTCGATAGCTCCAATGGTTTTTCCAGAATCGTCCTTTGAAACATTCAAAAATTAACAAAAGACCCCAATTTTCAACAAAATTTTCGAAATTTCACTATATACATTTTCATGTAGATTTCGGGACGTAGAAGTCAATTCCGCTTTCATTTCTTCGATAACTCCAATGGTTCTTCCAGAATCGTTCTTTGAAACATTCAAAAATATGCACAATACCCCAAATTTCGACCAATTTTCAATAAAATTTTCGAAATTTCACTAAATACATTTTCTTGTAGATTTTGGGCCGCAGAAGTCATGTCCGCTTTCATTTCTTCGATAACTCCAATGGTTTTTCCAGAATCGTCCTTTGAAATATATAAAAATATGCAAAATCCGCCCAATTTTCCACCAATTTTCACCACAATTTTCGAAATTTTATTAAATACATTTTCTTGTAGATTTCCGGCCGCAAAAACCATATCCGTTTTCATTTCTTCGATGACTCCAACGGTTTTCCCAGAATCGTCCTTTGAAACATTCAAAAATAAGCAAAAGATCCCAATTTTCGACCAATTTTCAAAAAAATTTTCGAAATTTGAGTAAGTTCATTTTCGTGTAGATTTAGGAACGCAGAAGTCATATCCGCTTTCATTTCTTCGATAACTCCGATGGTTTTTTCAGAATCGTCTTTTGAAACATTCAAAAATATGCAAAATACCCCAATTTTCAACAAAATTTTCGAAATTTCACTATATACAATTTCTTGTAGGTTTCGGGACGTAGAAGTCATATCCGCTTTCATTTCTTCGATAACTCCAATGGTTCTTCCAAAATCGTTCTTTGAATTCAAAAATATGCACAATACCCCAAATTTCGACCAATTTTCAACAAAATTTTCGAAATTTCACTAAATACATTTTCTTGTAGATTTTGGGCCGCAGAAATCATATGCGCTTTCATTTCTTCGATAACTCAAATGGTTTTTCCAGAATCGTCCTTTGAAACATTCAAAAATATGCAAAATCCGCCCAATTTTCGACCAGTTTTCAACAAAATTTTCGAAATTTCACTAAATATATTTTCTCGGATATTTCGGGCCGCAGAAATCATATCCACTTTCATTTCTTCGATAACTCCAATGGTTTTTCCAGAATCGTCCTTTGAAATATTCAAAAATATGCAAAATCCGAACAAGTTTCGACCAATTTTCAACAAAATTTTCGAAATTTCACTAAATACATTTTCTTCTAGGTTTCGGGCCGCACAAGTCATACCCGCTTTCATTTCATCTATAACTCTAATGGTTTTTCCAGAATCGTCCTTTGAAACATTCAAAAATATCCAAAATATCTCTAATTTTCGACCAATTTTCACCAAAATATTCGAAATTTCACTAAATACATTTTCTTGTAGATTTCCGGCCGCAAAAACCATATCCGTTTTCATTTCTTCGATGACTCCAACGGTTTTCCCAGAATCGTCCTTTGAAACATTCAAAAATAAGCAAAAGATCCCAATTTTCGACCAATTTTCAAAAAAATTTTCGAAATTTGAGTAAGTTCATTTTCTTCTAGATTTCGGGCCACAGAAGTCATATCCGCTTTCATTTCTTCGATAACTATAATGGTTTTTCCAGAATCGTGCTTTGAAACATTCAAAAATATGCAAAATCCGCCCTAGTTTCGACCAATTTTCAAAAAAATTTTCGAAATTTTACTAAATATATTTTTTTGTTGATTTCGAGCTCTTGAACTCAAATCCGGCTTGGGTTTTTTGATACCTGCAACCGCTTTTCCAGAATCGACTGTTAAAATTTCGAAATTTTTGAAATTTTCAAAAATTTGCATTTCCCAGTGATTTTTGCGAAAATGTTGCTTCGTGATCATCAATATGCTATATTTTTGGAATCAGCGTGTCGAGATCTACGTCCTTGAATTTTTCATAATTTTTAGACAACTTTTTTAAAATTGAAATTTTTTAATGGTCCCCCCCCCTTCTTCAAATTTCGCAAAAATTTTGACATTTTTGAAACTCAACTAAATACATTTCCTTGTAGATTTCGAGCTCAATAACTCAAATCCGGCTTCGGTGTTTTGATACCTGCAACCGTTTTTCCAAAATCGATCGTTGAAATTTCGAAATTTTTGAAATTTTCAAAAATTCGCATTTTGCAGCGATTTTTCGGAAAATGTTGATTCGTGAGCATCAACATACTATATTTTTGGAATCAGCGTGTCGATATCTACGTCCTTGAATGTTTTCAAAATTTTTAGACAACTTTTTTAAAACTGAAATTTTTCAATGGTCCCCACTTCTTCAAATTTCCCAAAAATTTTGACATTTTCGAAACTCAACTAAATACATTTTCTTGTAGATTTCGAGCTCTAGAACTCAAATCCGGCTTCGGTTTTTTAATTCCTGCAACCGTTTTTCCAGAATCGACCGTTGAAATTTCGAAATTTTTGAAATTTTCAAAAATTCGCATTTTGCAGCGATTTTTCGGAAAAGGTTGATTCGTAAGCATCAACATACTATATTTTTGGAATCAGCGTGTCGAGATCTACGTCCTTGAATTTTTTCAAAATTTTTAGACAACTTTTTTAAAATTGAAATTTTTAATGGTCTTCAAATTTCGCATAAATTTTGACATTTTCGAAACTCAACTAAATACATTTTCTTGTAGATTTCGAGCTCTAGAACTCAAATCCGGCTTCGGTTTTTTGATACCTGCAACCGTTTTTCCAGAATCGTCCTTTGAAATATATATAAATTTGCAAGATACGCCCAATTACTATATATTTTGAATCAAATTTAATAATTTTTTCAAACTGGATATATTCCTTGCGCACCTGTTAAGTACTGATTGACTTATAAATTTCTTAAAAAAGTTTTATGTGCTTTTGCTTTTATATACCTTACAAAGAACATTTATGAACACTCACACGAACCCGAACTTTGAAAAACCACCATAAACAAGTTGTTAATTTATTTAAAATGGTAATAAATTCGTCACTTGCTTAATCGCCGCAACGCCAATAAAATGAGACACGTCAACAACAAACCCAAAAAGACCTCCGCAAGTCCGCAATCTATCTTAATCAGCTCATCGAGCTCCAAATCCACCATTTACCATTTCGTCTCTCCAACCCAAAAAATAATCAATCACACCCATCGCCTAAATTACGCAAGCCCATTAATTAATCCCCAATAAAACACCTCATCTCCGACCTCTTCACCGCCAACAATGCCGTCCTTATCACTTGCTTCATTCACCACGTCCCAGAAAAATCGCATGACATAACACGGCTTGAACTGACGTCTGAATCCCAGCGATACCTTGCGCATCGCCAACAATTTCGCAGTTGCACAAAAACGCAGCGAATCTTTAGAAATTAATAATTCCGAAAGGTGAAATGTGAAGGATGATTCTCCTCCGATAATAGTGGGGTTTTTTCAGGAGGTTTTTATATATAGTATAAATCAAAGCCTCTCGGTGCCCATATTAGTCCAGCAGCTGCCAATCATGAAGGTGGTTAGTACTGAGAGATGAAGCCACGTTTCGCTAATTCTGTGTTTCAGGTCGCCGTGTTCTTCGTCTTGGTGGCGGTGGCGGCCGCCGCCCCCCAGCAGGGCCGCGACGCCCAGATCCTGAAGTTCGAGAACGAAAACATCGGCGTCGATGGATACAGATTCAGGTACCACGAATTTTTGAAAAATTTTTACCTTTTTTGAAAAATTTTTTTGTAGCTACGAGACCAGCGACCCCATCTCGAGGAACGAAGTCGGGGAATTGAGGAACCCGGGGACTGACAACGAGGCCATCAGCGTCCAGGGGGAGTACAGCTACGTGGGACCCGACGGAAAGACTCACACGGTGACGTTCGTAGCCGATGAGAACGGGTTCCGGCCCCAAACCAAGACTGCCCGCAAATAGTTTACTTGCGAATTTTTGTAAATTATTTAGTTTCTTCTTGCACCTGTATTTAAGAGCACTTTTTGTATCTTGCGAATAGATGAATCGAGTTAAGTCGCTTTGTTTGATTTGATGACACTCAACCCACTTAGATTTGTTGCTAAATGTTGTGCATTGAAGAAATTGCATTGTAGGCGCATCTGCACTTACACTTCTTAAATGTCACTTATTGTTGAGTTGCGTCATGAGTTTATGGGGAACGATGAACCAAGTAAAGTTTATTCAACTTGAGGCAAATTAAGAGGTTCTAACGAAGTTGCATAATAGGCCGGAGAAAAGCCGAATTACTTTCTTCAATGAAGAGTGATTTGATTGTTAGATTCTTGTGAAGAATGGTCAAAGGTTCATTCTTGCGAAATTTCAAATTATGTGTAGCGTAGAGGCGATTAACGAAAAATATTCAAAAGTCGTAAAAAAGAGGAAGCTGGTGGGTCCGGTGAAGAATCGCACAAGGTTCAAATGTTAAACTTTTATTGTAATTTATATAATTCCTTTGACTAATTTATGTTATAAAAGAGCCATAGATTATGCGGTGCTTTTAAATATTTTTTAAATGCTAATTGAACGGTCTTTGTGCAAAGGTTTCAGACAATTAATGTTAAGAAGGAGCTAGAAATCAGGAACACATTTTCTTAATGTCAGTTATTATGTGAAGAATAAAGATTGGTGTCACCAAGCGTTTTTGCTTTATAAAAGTACTAATCATACGATTGTAAAAAACTACCCAAAGTCTTCAAAAATATTTTGGTGATGTTCACCAGTAAACGACTTTCTCTTCAATTTTAACGTCCAGGCTAACAAATTTAACAAACAAAGAGAATTTTGCGTCACAAAAAAAGTGTACTCTAGACGATGATGTTAGCTTGAATTCTTCCCATCATTGGATTGTGTACATTAAACCTTAGACCTTTTTGTATCTACCTTAATAGTGAAATTATTTATGAGAGGTCACTATGGATAATAATTGTACACGGAATGTATAGGTTTTTTTTTCTTTTCATGGTTCTATGGGTTCTTCATGAACTTTCTTCATTCATTCTATTCTAGATGCCTTGGCCATCTAGTTCTTTTAGTAGGTTGTCAATGTTAGTAATTCTAATTAGTAATCTACAGTTTTTTTTTTTTATTTTTTGAACATATTTTTTTATTTTTCTTGATTATACAAATATTTATACGGAGAAAGCAATACAAAAAAAAAACATCAAAAGCAGTCATGGCTTTTTGAAGGTTTATCTTTCATCGTTACTGTCGCATTTTAAAACTTTATTGATTTCGTGTTTAATTTTAAACTAAAACATTTAAATTCAGGTCAGGTCAGGTCAAGTCAGACGAAAATTCTATCAAAGATATTCATCGCTGCTTTTGATCAAGTTTTTTAATGTTTTTTCCTTAATTTTTTTAATTTTAATTTACGAGGTTCAAAGTTTACGAAAACAAAAAAATTATTTTTATTAAATCTTTTTGAAAAATATTTGTAAAAATAAATGTTTCTTCATTGCTAATACGAGCATTCTCCATTCAAATAGAATAGATTGTACATTTCTTGGAAAATTTTTGGAAACTATTTTCTCATTTTCCTAAATTATTTGGGAACCGCAGCGAGAATCATTTTAAATTGTCCATTCTCCATATGAATAAAAACCTCTTATAATATTAACTTCTACAATAAACAATATTGGATTTTATCATTTTTCTAAAATATTTGAGGAGGTATCACAAAAATTACTCCAGATTAGTAATCTGTTTTTTTTTTTCGAAAAAAATTATTTTATTTAAATGATTTATTATGATTAATTATTTTTTTTTAAATTTCCAAAAAATAGTGGGAAAAATACGTCGAAAAAAGCCCACAAAAATTTGACAAAAAAAAAACGACAAAAAACATCGCAAAAATTGCGGAAAATAGTACAGGAATACGAAAAAAAGTAATGAAAATGCTAAAAAAAATATACAAAAAAGGGCATAAAAGATGAAAAAAGTCAACAAAAGAAGGTCGACAAAAGAGCGAAAGAAATGTTATAAAAAGCGGAGAAAAGCGCATCCAAAAAAGCCATAAAAATTTCCAAAAAAAGACAACAAAGATTACTACAAAAGAAGCGCTAACAAGAATGTTGAAAAAAGATCAAAAAAAGACGACTAATAAATTTTGGGTTTTCTCATTTTTTTAAATATCTGAGTATCAAATATCATAAAAATTACTCCAGGTTAGTAATCTATTTTTGTTTTCGAAAAGAACCAGCTTTTACACGTTTTTAGTAAATTTTTGGATTTTTTTTTTCATTTTTACCAGTTATTAAGGAGTTATGAAAGGAAGAAAAGTTAGTAAAATACTAAAACAAAAGACGACAAAAAAGTCTTAAAAAATGGGAATTAAAAATAACTTTAAAAGAAAGGCAACAAAAATGTGAACACAAAAAGGACTAAAATTAAGAGCCGACGAACAAAGTGGCACTAAAAAGTGCAAAAAAAGGCGGAAAAAAGTACGACTAAAAACGGCAACAATAAATGATACAAAAAAAATGCTTCAAAAAAATAAGAAATATGCTACAAAAAGGATTCAAAAAAGAAATAAAAAACAACAAAATAAGGGCAACAAAAAAGCGAAAGAAAGGCTATAAAAAAGCGGATAAAGACGCGTCCAAAAGAGACCACAAAAATTTCGAAAAATGAGACAAAAATTGCTAATAATGTTAAAAAGAAAGGGTCAAAAAAGACGATTAACAAATTTTGGATTTTTTTAGTTTTTAAAAATATCTGAGAAAGTATAAAAATTACTCCAGCTTTTACACGTTTTTAGTAAAAGTTTCGATTTTTGTCTTCAATTTTTTCAGTTATTAGAGAGTTATGAAAGGAAGACAACAAAAAAAAGTTACGAAAATACTACAAAAAGGACAAAGTCTAAAAAATGGGAATAAAAAGAACCTTAAAAGAAAAATACCAAAAAGTGACTAATAAAAAGCCGACAAACAAAACGACACCAAAATTGGAAAAATTGACAAAAAATAACAAAAAATTACTAAAGAAAAAACGACGAACAAAGCGACACGAAAAAGACAGTGTGAAAAAATACGACGAAAAAAGCAACAAAAAATGTGCCAAAAAAATGAGACAAAAAAAACATCGACACGACAAAAAGTAATAAAAAAAGCAAAAAAAATGGAAAAAGTTAACAAAACAGGTCCAAAAAAAACACGACAAAAATTGCCACAAAAGAACCGTTAACAGGAATGTTAAAAAATGGTCAAAAAACGACAACTAACAAATTTTGGATTTTTTTATTTTTGTAAAATATCTGAGGAGGTATCACAAAAATGACTCCAGATTCGTAATCTGTTTTCGAAAAGAAAAAAACAACTTTTACACGTTTTCAGTAAATTTTGGGTTTTTTTTTCATTTTTCTCAGTTATTAGAAAGTTATGAAAGGAAGACAAAAAAAATTACGAACATACTACAAAAAAAGGACAATATGAAAAGTCTAAAAAAAATGGGAATAAAAATGAACGTTAAAAGAAAGGCAAGAAAAAAATGTGAACCAAAACAAAAAACAGTCGATAAATAAAACCACACCAAAAGGTGCAAAAAAGCGTAAAAAAATGCGGCAAAAGAACAAAAATCGTGACAAAAACTCGCAACAATTCCGAAAATAAATATAAAGGAAGACGACAAAAAGGTGATAAGAATGTCACAAAGAATGATATAAACAAGACAAAAAAAGACGTAACAAAAAAGCATCAAAAAACGCCACAGAAAATAGCAAAAACTCGAGAAAAAAACAAAAAATAATCAAATAAGTGACAAAATCCTACAAATATCGATTAAAAAATCCACAAAAATGGGTCAAAACAGTAACAAAAAGGGACAAAAAAATTTGCAAAAAGGGCGAATAACATGACAAAAAAACACAAGAAAAAAGAAGTAACAAAAGAAGGTCATACAAATCTATAAAAACAGTCAATAACCAAAGGGATAAAAATAACATGACAAAAAACTTCACAAAAAATGCGATTCAAATTAAAAAAAATGAAAATTTTTTGCAAAATTAAAAAAAATATTTTCTCATTTTTCGAATTTATTTGAGGAACTGCAAAAAAATTAATTCAAATTCATCTTTCTCCATAAAACCCTGTTATAATATGAACTTCTACAAAAATTTGTTGGATTTTTTCATTTTTCTGAAATATCTGAGCAGATATCACAAAAATTACTCCATATTTTTTTCATTTGTTTGGATATTCTTCATCATTTTTCTTAATTATTGGTGAGCAATGAATAAAGACAACAAAAAAGTTACAAAAACATGTACAACAAAAAAAACTCGAGAAGAAAACTGTAAAAAAATCGGAATCACAAAGAACGTTGAAAGAAAGGCAACAAAAAAATGTGGAAAAATGGACAGAAAAAAAGACACGACAAACAAAATTACAATAAAATCGGATAAAAAGACGAAAAGTAATTAAAAAAGTGACAAAATGAGACAAAAAAGGACAATAAAAAAGTCCATAAAAAATGTGTCAAATCAGTCCACAAAAAATGCGTGAAAAAAGTGAGAAATATGGCCAGGACTTGCTAAGATAAGATTGATTTTGGCGAAGGACATACCCTCTAAGAAAATAGGGGGCGGGTGGGCGGGGCCAGTACTTGGTAAAATAAGACTGATTTTGGCAAATAAAATATCCTCTAAGAAAATAAAAGAAGGGTGGGTGGGAAAAAACGTGACAAGAAACATCGCAACAATTTGGGAAATAGCTACAAAAGAACACGACAAAAGAAGTAATAATAATGCCACAAAGAATAGTTCAAACAAAGCAAAAAAGAGGTAACAAAAAAGCGGATTTTTGGATGTTTTTCTCATTTTGCTCAGTTATTGGAGAGCTATGAAGGAAGACAACAAAAAAAGTTACAAAATGTGTGCTACAAAAAAAAAACCCGACAAGAAAAGTGTAAAAAAATCGAAATCAAAAAGAACGTCAAAAGAAAGGCAACAAAAAAATGTGAAGAAAAATGGACTAAAAAAAAACAGCGGATAAACAAAATAACACGAAAATCAGAAAAAACGACAAAAAAAATTAAAAAAGTGACAAAATGAGACAAATATCGATAAAAAAAGGACAACAAAAAAAAATGGATCAAAACAGCTAAAAAAATGCGTCAAAAAAGTAGAAAATAGAGCCAGTACTTACTAAGATAAGACTGATTTTGGCAAATGACATACATACCCTTTGAGAAAATAGAGGGCGGGTGGGCGGGGCCAGTACTTGCTAAGATATGACTGATTTTGGCAAATGAAATACCCTCTAAAAAAATAAAGGGTGGGTGAGTGGGGCCAGTACCTGCTAAAATAAGACTGATTTTGGTAAATAAAATATCCTCCAAGAAAATAAGGGGTGGGTGGGCGGGGCCAGTACTTTCTAAGATAAGACTGATTTTGGCAAATGAAATACCCTCTAAGAAAATAAAGGGTGGGTGGGTGGGGCTAGTACTTCCTAACATCAGACTGTGGCAAAAATAGTAGAAATGTGATTGATATCAACTACTCTAAAGACATCCAAACTGCCAGGAATATAATTTATAAAAAAAATAAAAAATGTCAGTTATATTCAAAACAACAAACACGTTACAGTTGTCAAAAATATAAAGAAAAAAAATGTAAAAAAAAAGAACAAAACGTCAAAAATATTATATAAATGTAAAGAATATCGAGAATGTGTAAGAATGTCAAAGTTTAAGAATACAAATGTCAAACATTCTTTAAAAAAATCACCAAGAATGATATGTCAAATATAGGTGAAAGTGTCAGATATGTCAAATACTGACATCAAAAGGTGAAACACATCGAATATTTCAAAGCGACCACATTTAGGTGTCATTCAAAATTATTCGTCTGTGCCTCTGGGATCCTAAAGTATTAATATTAAGGAGGGCACTTTTAGTGTCTAATCAAAAAAAGTTAATCGTGAAAATTAATGTTTGTGAATGCTAAGGGTGTTTTTTTTTATCTAGAGATCTATTATTACAACTGAAAAATGGCGACAAAAAAAAGAGAAAAAAAGCTATAAAAAACGGACAAAAAGGCGTCAAAAAAGATGATAGAGATTTCAAAAAATTGCTACAAAAAAGGCTAAAAAAAGGGCAACAAGAAAAACGAAAACAAAAAATGGTTAAAAAGGATTACTTACAATTCAACAAAGATGCTACAAAGAAAAGCCACAAAAATGCCTTTAAATAAAAGTGAGAAAAAAGCAGAAAAAAGACAACGAAAAATGGTTAAAAAGAAATTGACAAAAAGTCCACAAAAAATGCGTCAAAAAATCTACAAAATAAAAGACTAAAAAACATGACAAAAACAAACAAAAGCAAGAAAAAGCTCTCTTATTTTTATCTTTATTTGAAAAAGCATCACAAAAATTACTGGAGTGTCGTAATCATTCTAATGTAATATTTTTAAAAATGTTTTGAACGTAATTTCCCATGTTTATCTGTTATTTGAGTAGATTGTTGCAAATAAAAGTGACTTCGTAACCCACGAAAATTTTCTACATAACTTTGTCCGTCTTTTGATTAAAATAGAGCGTTTTAATATTTCTTTGCTCGATTTTGTTGTAAGATTCTTCTTTCTTCAACGTGCACAGAACCTGTTTTAAGATTTTTGTAGGAAATTTTCGATTATCTAAAGACACATAGTAAAAATTGATATTTAATAAACCACAACATTTTATGCACGAATAAAGCCCTCTTGATAATTTTTTTGGATTTCTATTTTAATTTAATTTCCCATTTTTATCGATTATTCGATTATTTGAAGAAATATTACAAAAGTGGCTTCAGAATCAGCTACGAAAAACTGTCCTCATTAGCACGGTCTGTCCTAGTATTTTAATATTTCTATATAATTAATTTCCCATTTTTTTATTATTTGAAGATATCATAAAAGGCACTTCATGTTCGTATTCAAGGAAAAATTTTCTATACACACATCCAACAAACATGTATATTTATAATTGAGCAGTAAAAAAAATAAAAAATAAAACTAAAAGGAAGAGATATAGAGGGCGATTCGAACTACATTTAATATCTAAGCAAACAATAAGTAAAAAGTTCTAGTAAAATGATGATCATTTTTCAAAAATGGAAGAGCTACAGAATTTTTAAATTTGATTATCTTCATCGAAACTACTTTCCAACATCCTTAAATTTATTAGCAAAAACAAATGCTTGAATGCCTTAAAAAATAAAACAAATTTTAAAATGATGGATCTAAGAAATCTTAAATTTGGTATGAAACCAGTGTTAGACTGATTTTTTTTCAACAATCCACGATAAACAAAATATAATTATAGCACCGATGCAACTAATTTTTGGAATTTCATTGAATTTAGAACGTCACTGTGAATCTCCTATTTCATGTTCCTGTTGGCATAACGTTATATAAATACCTCGTAAAAGTAAACCTGGTGACGAATGCGAGATTAGAAGTTGACTGATTCGGGGAAGTAAATAAATAATTCTAAAAATGTCATTTCTGGTGAAAGTCATATATCACATGCACAAAGAGATGGCTCGATTATGTGATCAATTAAAGTGTCAGACGTTCACCCTAACCTCCAACTTAGAGACTGACTTTTAAATTCCATAAAATCGATTCGACATTTGTTTTTGAATTATAGAATATAATTACGGCTGCTTTGGTCATGTTTTCCCGATTTAAGATCAGCCTAATCCTGTAGAACCTATGTAGAAGTCAAAAAATATACTAATATGTGCAGTACGATAAAACGTCTAATTTTAAAAATTCACACCTTTTTAAGCCTAAATTTAAATAGAATGCACAGTTTCACTTTTAATTTGCACTTATTAAAAATATTTTAAATTTAAATCCAGTTAATTACATGAGCTCACTTTTTCACACTGCAGAAACTTTCACAAATAACATCCTGAAACAGCGTTATTGTTGTTTTATTACGAATTATTGATGCGTCATAAGATTTTTTCTTATACAAAAAACACAACGTAGGGCCCTTGGCGTAAATATTTTTAGATCTTCACGAAGAAATATTTAATAATCTTCAACCGCATGTTGAAGTGAATCTAATCATATATAAAAAAATCTCGTTTTGTTTTTGACCTTCAACTGGAATTGTTTATGATTTTGTAAAAAACCACAAGAATATTTGCGAAAAACGTGACTAATGTTTTGTTTCTACAACTACGTATTTTATTTATATTAATCTTGTAAACTCCGATTTATTCTAGTGAATTCAATTTCTAATAAGTTTCATTCCAGGAATGCTTAAAAAATGACACGACGATCAAAGTCATTTCTTCAAAGGTGTAAAGCTCTCGCAATATGAGGTTATGCAATTTTTTGAAGCTGTAAACTTTAAACTTATTTGTTCATCGTAACAGACTTTTTGACCGATATGTCATAAACTTTATTTACAGTAGTCGTAATTATTGAATGCCGCCTAAGTAAACCAAAATTGAATAACTGATTATAAAACAAGGAGAAAGCTCGGAGTTGTTGAAAATTGGACCTGTGAATTTTAAAAACCCATTCAATTTAGTATATATTTTAAAGGTATGTTTCTACTAACGGAACCGTCTATATTCACCATGACGTCATGTACCATTCTTTACAGACTGTCAATATTTTAACAACAATTCAGTGCAACAGTTATAAACAAATTAACATTACTTTAACACGTGTTTGTAGAAGCCGACCACATTTATTAATAACAAACTAAATTACCCGGCCAGCAAAACACTATAATTACTGAACATCACATCTTTGTTGCTATTATGATTATTGTTTACCAACAATGCCAATACTACAGTCCGATTTTTTTCAACTCCACTTTAGCCCAATTAAAACATATAAACAAAAATGTCCTTCGCCGCACTGATTTACACCTGCTCCATAAATCTAACACTGTAAAAAACCGCTCATCACGAAATTTATTTTGTTAGATCTCACCATTCGCCATTATTTATTGCAAGATTAATCAAATTTAGTTTCAAGGTAAAAACGAAAAGATCATCTAAAATGGCAGTTTACACACTATAAGAAGTGGGTATTTGCACTCATCAAACACATTCGACAAACAAACAAAAAAGAAAAAAAAACGTTAAGCAATAAACGCGCCACAAAAACGCGCGTCCAATAAAATTAAAAGAAAATTTATCGACTATACTTAGTAATAAAATAAAAAATTGTGGTTTGACACCACGACAAATTAAAAAGGTCTTCCTGTCACGGCGCTACCGCACTTGAAATATATTAGTCACGAAAAGGAGTGAATCTCAAGAAAAAAACTTATTTCCTTCTAAAGGTGAAGTGTGAAGGATCATCACAAACAGTGGGGACTTTGGTTATTGGTCTGTCATAAATTGTATATAAATCCAGCTCGTGGTAATTCCTAATTAGTACTTACTTTAATCATGAAAGTGGTCAGTTTGTTCTCAATGCAAAAATCCGTGTGTCTAATAGTTATATTTTCAGGCAATCGTTCTGTGTGTCGTTGTAGCCGCGGCTTTAGCTGCCCCCCAAGGAGGAACCGGTGCTCAAATTTTGAGATTTGAGAACGAAAACATCGGCGTCGATGGATACAAATTCGCGTAAGATTTGGCAAAATTTGGGTGCGTTTTTTGATTTTGGGTTCTAGTTATGAAACAAGCGACCCGATTTCCCGGTCGGAGCAAGGGACGTTGAACAACATCGGCAGCGATAAGGAGTCCATCGAGGTCCACGGGGAGTACACCTACAAGCTCCCAGACGGTAAAACCCACACCGTCTCCTTCGTCGCCGACGAAAATGGTTACAGACCAAAAACCCAAACCAGCTAGACTTTTTTGAAAAAACCGGCCCGATTTTCGACTTCCTACTAGCCTAGTGTACAGCAGATTACAAACATAGCATTTGTAAATTTTGTAAAAAAATTAATAAAAATGTACATACTTGTTAACACTTTTTTTATTTTGAATGCAGTCATGCCAAGTATTTGCATTAACGCTCTTGACATCTTGAGGTAGGTTGAGAAGCGCAGCGAATAAACATTCCTGAGTGATGTTTTATGGGATGTTAACATTTTTCAACACCGACCTTGTCATAGTTTGGGATCTGATAGCATGCACGTTTTAATTTGGCTAGAACAAGTGAGAATAAAATAAACAAATTAATCACGGCGTGATTGCGGGACAGAATTTTGTAACGATTTGTCAATTTTGCGAGGAATTCGTGGTTAAATAATTAAGATCTGGGTCGAGAAATATGCTAATACCGTCAAAATGAAAAATAACAAGAACGCGCGTTTAGTAACAAAAATTTGTAAACATGTACCAACACATGGGTTACGAATTTTTATAATTTTTGACTTGAAAAGTGTGTACAAAAATTTCAAACAATTAAATTTTGAGCCTGTCGACCATGAACTTGGATTCACCTGCTGCTCACCTCTCGATGATATCATAATGTTCGGTAAAACAGGGAAACATTATCCAATGTCACGTTCATAAAAATAAAACACAAATAAAACAAAACCCTCGTTAATGCAGTGATGGTTAAAGTCTTGACATTTCGAAACACAAAAAACTGCAAATACAATTTCAGTGTTTGGTTTCTCGTAATTGATGATGAGCATCATCGGAAGACATGTACTTGTTAATTTCAAAACAAGTTTTAACATTTTAAAGCGCGATTCGTTCGAGGATTAGTAGTAGGTGCGTTTTATCGGGAATTTGTTTTAAAGTATAGGCGAAGCTTGATGGATGGACATGAATGGATGTAAAGTAAAAACATGGTTGAGAATGAAAGGTTGATGGACATTGGAAAATTTGCATTGATCTTTGAACTTAGTTGGATCGTAACCTATACGCTTATGTAAGTGCATGGTGGGTATAAATGTGTGAGATGTCGAATTTAAAGCGTAACTTGAGGTATTTTAAGATAAATGTCTTCATTATTTATGTTGGGTTTAAATGATTTTGGAACAGTGTGAATTATGGTTGGATGGTTTGTTCGAGCTTTTTTGTTTTTCTTGTGTTCACTATCACTTTTTTTTTGGTGATCATTCTATTCATCCTTTTACTTCTACAAGAATAGTTAGTAAGCGTCGTAAATATTTTGATGACTGCAGTTGAAACATTACATTAGTTCTGCTCAAAAAATGCCTTTTGTACTATTGTGGACGTCATCAACATTTTTGGGAGGATGCCTTGGATTGGTGCACTGTAATACTATAAATCACAAGCAAAAACTCATCATGTTTTGCACATTTCGGGTAGATTTAGAAATTTAACAATGGAAATTTGCAATTTAACACCTTTAAATTTCACAAGTTTTCATAAAATTAATAGGGGCAAAATCAGTTTTACCTTATCAGTACTAGGCCCGCCCACCCGCCCCCTATTTTCTTAGAGGATGTCATTTGCCAAAATCAGTCTTATCGTACCAAGTACTGGCCCCACCCACCCACCCTCTCTTTTCTTAGAGGATATGTCATTTGCCAAAATCAGTCTTATCTTACCAAGTACTAGCGTTTGCTAAGATAAAACTGAACAATATCAAGAGTAGTCACTAGAATGAAGAAGGAGTGTAGAAAAAACTAAACCCAGCCTCCCCCATCTCTTTCCTCCATTTCACTGACTTATTTGATTTACGGTAAAATGGGAATTGAATTCTATTTTGAAAAACGGTAGAATCTAAGATTTAAAACGGAGTCAGATGTGGCCCCGCCCACCCACCCCTATTCCGTTTTGAACGCTCATTTTATTGGCTCTGAAGAGGGAAGTTGCAAAGCTTTGCCAAAATCAGTCTTATCTTAACAAATATTAGCCCCAACCAACCGCCCGCCCTCTATTTTCTCAGAGGATATATCATTTGCCGGAATCAATCTTATCTTATCAAATACAAGACCCGCCCACCCGCCCTCTATTTTCTTAAAGTTGTGGTGTGGGGCTAGTACTTGTGAAGATAAGATTGATTTTGGCAAATGATGTATCCCTTTAAAAAAGAGGGGGTGGGTGGGCGGGGCTTGGGGCTTGTATTTGCTAATATAAGACTGTCTTTGGGAAATGATTTACCACTAAAGAAAATAGAAGGGGTGGGGGGGTTAATAATTGGTAAAACAGGACTAATTTTCGCCAATGTCGAATTCTATTTTGAAAAAGGGTAGAATCTAAGATTTAAAACAAAGTCAGAAGCCCACCCACCCTTATTCCGTGCATGCAATTTTCCGGGCTTCCAAGTTTAAATTTTTCAGTTTTTAAAATTGTGTACTTTCGATTTTCCAATTTTTCATTTCTTCAATTTTTCGTTTTATTTTCTTTATTTATTCAATTTTTCTCTTTTTGAATGTTAATTTTTTCAGTTTTTCGTTTTGCATTTTTTCCAGTTTCTTATTTTTTCGAATCAAAAACATGAAAAAACGAAGTATAAAATGGAAACTGAAAATCTAAAAATAAGAAATCAAGAACTTGAAAAATCGAGAAAGGGAAAAATAGAAAAAAAACGAAATTCTATAAAATCGAAGTATTTAAATAATTGGGTCATAAAACTTCATTTATTCGACTTCTTAATTTTTCGAATTTTAATTTAATATTTCGATTCTTCAATTTTTCATTTTTGAATTTTTCAGTTTTTGAATTTGCAATTTTTTTTGGTTTTCAATTTTTTAATTTTTCGGTGTTTTAAGTTTATATCTTTGAGTTTCATGATTTTTCAATTTGTCGTTATTTGATTTTCAAGTTTTCACTTTAAGTAAATAATAATAATGGTTTTTAAAATTTTACGTTTTTCCATTTCACAACTATTAGATTTTAAAACTTCCTCATTTCTTCGGCTTTTTAATTTTTGGATTTTTATCTTCAATTTTTCATTTTTAAACTTTTCAATTTTCGATTTGCATTTTTTGGTTTTCAATTTTTCAATTTTTCAACTTTTCGTTGTTGCAAGATTGACTGATTTTAGCCAATGATAAAACTGTAAAATGGGAATTGAATTCTATTTTGAAAAACTATAGCATTTAAGATTTAAAACTAAATCAGAAGTTGCACAAAATAAGGGTGGGTTATTTTGTGTATGTAATTTTTCGAGTTTTCAAGTTTTTTCAGGTTTTAAATTTTCTGCTTTCGAATTTTTCAATTTTTCGATTCTTTAATTTTTCATTTCTTCAATTTTTCGACTTGCACCTTCACGATTTTTCAATTTTTCAGTTTGCAATAATTGTTCGTTTTATTTTCTCTGTTTTTTCAATTATTCTCTTTTTAACGTCAACTTTTTCAACTTTTAGATTTTTTCATTTTTCGTTTTTTTTGTCTTCTAATTTTTCGATTCATTAATCTTTTTGATTTTTAAGTTTCTTTGGATTTTTAGTTTTTCATTTTTCGGTTTTTCGTTTCTTCAGTTCTTCGATTTATAATTTTTCCATTTTCCATTTTTTGGATTCTGCAGTGTTTCGTTTTTCCAGCTTATTTTTTTCGATGTTTCAAGTTTTCGAATAAAAAAATATGAAAAATCTAAAAATAGGAACTCAAAAACTTGAAAAATTGAGGAAAGGAAAAACTGAAAAATATAGTCTTAAAAATCGAAAAAGAAAAAATAAAAAACGAAATATTGTAAAATCGCAATATTGAAAATTACACAAATTCGAAAATCCAAAGATTGCAATATTGAAAAATTTAAAAAATGGAAAATCGAGGAATTGAAAAATGAAAGACTGAAAATTTGAATAAAAGAAACATTATAAAATTGAAATAAACATTGAAAAATAAAGGAAAAGAGAAAACGAAAAGTTGTAGTATAAAATCGAGAACAATAAAAATCAAAAATAAAATGAAAAGCTTGAAAAATTGAGGAAACGAAAAATTAAAGAATCCATAAATTGAAAAATCGAAAATTAAATACTAAAAAATTGCACATTGGAAAATTGAAAAATCCAAAAATTGGAACGAAAATAAAAAACCGAAACGAAGAATTGCAAACCAAAAATTTGATGGTCCCACATGAAAATTTTCGAAATTTGAGCTTTCAGATTAAAATTTTCAAAATAGCCCAAAAGTGATCATATTTAACTTTGGCGACTCTGGAAAAAAAATTGGAATTTTCGAAAAACTGAAATTGAAATTGATGACATTTGGGAGTCGAAATCAAGAAAAAAGTCTCTTCAGGTGATTTTCAAAAGTGTTCCAAAAAGGGTAAAAACATTTCAAAAGGGGAAAAAATGAGCTTTTAGTAAAGTTCTCTAAATATTCAGAAAAAAATTACTATATATAACTCTACGAACTGAGTCGAAAAACATACTATCCCAAAGCAAGGTGCTGAAAATTCCTCAAAAATTTTGTTTGATGGTTCCACAACAAGATTTTGGAAATTTAAATTTTTAAAACGTCCCAAAATGGCCATATTTATTTTTCGTGTTTTTTAAAAAATGCTTGAAATTTTCGAAAAAATGGCGAAAATGACTTCAGCAAATCGAATTCTAGAAAACTTTATATAATTTTCGCAATTGATCAAACCATTTATGTACATAATGGGGGTTTTTGAAAAATTTGGCTTTTAACAAAATTGTTTAAAAATCCTCAAATATTTTGCCATGTAGATCTCGACAAGCTTCAGTTAAAAACATAGTTTATGGTCCCAAGCCAAATTTCACAAATGGCCCTATTTTTGGATAATTTTCGAAAGAGTTCAGAAAAGGGTCAAAAGGTGAAAAATATTATAGATTGATGGACCAACGCCAAGATTTTAGAAATTTTCGGTTTATAAATTCAATTCTTAAAATGTCGCGAAAACAACTCTATCTTATCTCGGCGATTTTGTAAAAGTGGTTGGAATTTTCGAAAAAATGAATCCAAAAATGACTCCGTCGAATAGAAGTCAAAAAGAATATCAACGAGTAATTGGTAAAACGTAGCCTATCGATAGTCTCAAACCAATATTTTCGAAATTTTCGGTTTCAAAACCAAA